TTTTATATTTTATCTTTAATATTTATTTGCTTATATTTTAAAATAATAAATAATTTTCTATATATATATAATTATTTAATTTTTGAATTATTCTGATAAAATATAATTTTATAGTAAGTAATTTATTTATTATAACAAAAAAACAAGTTTTTTTTCAAAATATATCAAATATCAAATATTAATTTAAATTTAAATTTAACTTTAAAATTATTTTATTTTTTAATTCTTAATTACTTTACAAAAAATATAAGAAAATACTCAAAAATATTAATATTCTTTTTATTTATTAACTTTTAAAAAATAATAATTGTAATTTTATTTTTGATATTAATACAAAAAGAATTCAGAAATTCTAAAATTAAATTCAAATTACAGTAATTTAAAATCTTAAAAACAAATATATTAATTAATAATAATTTCAGAAAAATCAAATTTTAATTTACTTTTTCTTAATTTTCTTGAAAACAAATAGTTTCACAATATTTTAATAATATTTACAATGAAAAAATTATAATAACAAAATTTAAAAATAAGCATTTTTAAAAATAATATATATATTTTTGTTATTTGTTAGTTAAATAATTTTTATAATTAAATATACAAAAATATGCAAAATCATGTAATTTTTTATAATTAATAAATTGAATTTAGATCTTTATACTATATTAAAAAAATTCAAAAAAATTTTAAAACTAAATATAAAAATATACAAAAATTTATTAGATATTTTAATATTATTAAACTTGATTTTATTTGATATTAATTAATAAAATAATTTAAAATTTCTTTAGAATATGTTATTTCTTGAAATTTTGATTATATTACATATAGTATAATACAAAAAGTATTTTAATTATAAAATTACTAATTAATATCAAGACAAAAATCAATTATCAAAAAATTTTATAAAAGTATAAAAAAATATTTAATTATACAAAACTTTTTCTGTATAATGATATACATTTAAAAAATTATTAAAAATATAATTAATATATTAAATCAATAAATAATTGTTGTCAAAAAGTGTCACAATATAATATAATGTACTATCAGCAATATAAGTAAATTCAATCTATTAATGATATATAATTATATTTAAAAATCTGAAAAATATTTATTAATAAAATTAAAAACTTTTATATAAAGAGAAAAATCTTTATTTTTTATATTTTTATTATATTTTATTAATAATTTTTTTGCTATTATATTCTTTTTGATCACTACTATATATATTTTATTTTTTTATTATTTTAATTATAATATTAAAATTTATTAGTTAGAAAACTTGTATTAATAATTAAATTTTATTAATTAAAAAATTTGTATTATTAATATTATTATTATAATAATAAATTAATTTCAAATTGAAGTTGAAAATTTTTTTGTAATAAAATATTTCAATTATTTGAAAAAATTCAATAATATAAAAAGTTTGAATTTGATTATTAATTATTATTCAAAAACTATACTTTAAAATTGAATTTTTTATAAAATTTAAAATTTAAAAATTATAATATTATTTTTTGTGTTTCAAATATTAATTAATTCAATTATTATTAATTTAAATAATTCAGATTTCATTGAATTTTTAGGTTCCAAATTCTAGTTGGAATTTGAAACAATTCAATTATTAATAATCTAAATCAACTAATATATTTTCTTATTATAAAATACAATATATTAAAGTTAATTATTTAAAATATTATTTATAAATCATTAAGTTCAAGCTAATATTAGATTTGAAATATTATAATATTAATTAATGTGCCAGATTAAAATGAAATCTAGTAGAATATATAAATAATCAATGACAAAATTTAATATTATACTTTATACTCTGAGTTCATACTTAACTCTTTTTCATGATTGTCACCAGAAAAAAGATCCAATTATTTAACCCTTTTTTTATAATTATTGTTCAAAAAGATCACCGGATTTCATTTTAATCTGATTTTGTTTTAATTTGTCAAAACAATAATTAATAACGAAAAAATATTTTTTATAATTACGACTTAGTAATTATAAAAAAAAGCAAAAAAAAACTGTGAATTATATTTTTGGATTGATTATCTATATAAAGATTCACGCTATATCAAAAGTAGTATTATCGCGATGCTTGATAATCATGATCCCTGAAATCTTTTACGGCATTAGTTCACTTGTTGCAGTATATCCTACCTCTCATTATTTGTTATTAGCTGCCATGCGTCTAATGCATAATGATGATATATTCTTTCCTTTTTCAACAATGATGATGTTTTTTACTTTGTGCTTGTTTTTGGTATTCATTCTCACTTTGACTCATCGTTCTCGCTTTTCATTCTGTCTCATGTCTTTTCATCTTATTTCTTTTGGCTAAACCTTAATCAAACAATAATTCTTCATTTTTTAGTCTGATCCCTTTTATTTGCTATTGTTCCTTAAATGACTTACTTTGATGCAACGTTGTTTTTCGTTGGGTACTTTCGGCACATCTTTTCCTATTATAGATTGAGCTAATATTATTTAAAGATGAAATACCAATCAATTTAATTAATAGCATTTGATGTTTGATCCCTGTTAACTACGATAAATGCGTTTTAATCTATTACGCATATATAAATGTGAAACCAACACAGAGAATTTATTTATATAGTAACAATGAATATATTATAATAGTACAGTAAGTTTATTGAATTTCTAACAAATCTCCGTACTCTCAATAATTGGCTGCACTACGCTATCGTGCATGGATAATCGATAAACATGTGCTGTAGAAAAGGGAAAAATAGATCGACACAATAAATTTATTATCATAGACGTGGTCATTTTTGCATTTTCATTCGAACGCACATCTCATCCTTGTGAAAGTGGACTAAAATGGCAAATGTCCCACGCTGTCGTTTTCCGTTGTGAATGAATGTGAATGTGATTTTGCATTTTTTTATTATTATTTTTAAAGTATACACAACAACAAACTCCGCATTTGTTTTGTTTTTGTGTTTGTGTGCTCGATGATTAAGCTGTAGTTCTCTTCCTCGTTGCTGCTTTGGTTTTGGGTTTTCATAATGAAAACTTTGCTTTTGATGTTGATGATGATGATTATTATTATTATTCAAGAGTCGCTTTCACATCATTATTTGTTGCGCGAAGCAGACAAGAAAGAAAAATGAGAACAAAAAACATGAATGATAAAGAGAAAGGGGGATAATACACAACCAAGCGAAACACGAAAAAAGAATTGCACAATCAATAAATAAAAATAATGACGCTTACAATAAGGAAACACAATGAAGCAGAGCACATAACACACACAGTTCGTTGTTTCTAAATATATCTCGTAAAAAAGATTTCCTGATTTTGATATCAAGGATCGCAATGAGACAAAACTCTCACTTTGAGCGATCGATTGATATCACTGGTATCGAAGAAGAGCAAAGAACCACCTATAGACGGAGATCATTATCGTGATGGAAACCAAGGAAAGAGAGATCAAGAACGAGAATTAATAGCAAAAAAATTAGTGTATAAACTATAAAGGAAGAACCAACCACTACTCTGAGAAATAGACTACTGCGTAACTCGTAATCGAAACACAAAAAACAACAGCACATGTTTATACTCTATCAGTTGAGATCAACTTGATTATTATTATTTATTATTATTATTAATTCTGCTTCTCTCGCCCCTCATTTTTTCGGGGCTTGGATTTTCTTGATTGTTTATTTACCATGTACACTATTTATTTATATATATGATATTTTTCCTGCGCATGAACTATTACAATCACCATCACAGTTATTTATCGTTATTTATTAAATAAATAAATTCGGGAGAGAAAAGTATGATTGATTAGTGAGTCATAATTTTTGAATTTATTAATTTATTTAAAGCAAATAATTGGATCAAACAACAAGTGCACACACACACACATATATATTCATATATATATTTTTTATATGTATATATACATATGAATAATGTATACGTACATACATTTGATTATGCACAGCCTCAACAATAATATCTATTTATCGATCAATCAATCTATTAAGTGCATCTCGAATCGAATCAAAATTTCGAGTGAAATATTGACGCGAGAAACACGAAATATTGTTATGTATGTGCTAAAAAACAGGTCCCAAAGATAATTAGGCAATGATCTCGCCTAGCTTAATTAATTTACTTAATGTTATCGCATATAACGGCAAAGGTTCACGTGTATAATATTAATTAAATCATTGAAACGAATTCTTGATCGATATTTCTAGAAAAACATGTAATAATGCATATACATTTTCGGCGGTTAAATAAATGACCAAATTTCTTGACCAAAGAAAAAAATAACTTGTCCATGTGCGAACAATCAATCATCAATCACTGACATATCGATACGATTTGTGAGAATAAACTAAAAAATAGAAATAAAAAGCGCATGACGTAAACAAGGAACGTTTTTCCATATTAGGTAACAAATTCAAATGTACCATATATTTTGCTTTACTCCTCCTAAAGAATTTATGGTAACTGAGTATAATTAATTAACTTTATAATGAATAGTGGCGGCAGCTGTGTAACAACATGTCATTTTTCAGGTGAAAAAAAACATACAAAATCTAAGAATTAAATATATATTGTCTATTATCTATTTAATCTATGTGAAAGAATATATATTAGAAGTATTAGAAGGTATGTAGTAACATTTGTTCCTACTGGCTCCAGGTGAAACTCTAATATATCATAAATAAATAAAATTTATTATATCATGATTTTATATATATTACCAGTAACGATTGTCTCTTGTCATTTTTTACTTTTAATACCTTTTCGTTTATTGAATTTTTTACTTTTTTCGCCCTCTTATTTTTGATCGCTGCTTCATATTCGCTTAAGCTACTTGGATTATTACTGTTATTCTTATTTTGACACATTATCTTTAGAAAGAAACGACCACCAACCCTTTATGCAACAGTGAAAATAGATAAAAGGAGGGGAAAGGATAATTAACTTGTAAAAACAGAATGCCAGCACCACCAACAAATATGTCAAACGCGTTACAACACGAACAACAAGGTCCTCACCACCACAATAATACACATAGTCATAGTTTGCCTGATTGCATCTCCCAAGGAGGTACAATTGCCGAATGGCAACACAACACCTACAACCAAAATACTCATGTGCGAGTTCATATGCCCGATGGATCCGATAAATTCTTTCCAAACGTGAAGCAAGATCACCTACAATTATATCTAAACACGAAACCTACCATTCTCGACTCTCACGAGACTTACTATGACTCGTCTGCGACAATGTCACGTGATGTCTCACCTTCAGCTGACGAGGATGACGACAGTGACGACGAAATGCAAGACACGAGTAGTGACCACCCAAGTAACCAACCACTTTTTTTGAACTTTACTTCGGATCTTGCTCCGCAGCACATGTCAAAGAAAAAGTCAAAGGAAAAAAAGCAATTACAGTATCGTGTGAATGGTGTCAATATTTTGAATAGGTAGGCTCAATCTGATTGGACAATCAATACGCGATTCTTGTTTAACCATTTTTTTTTGATTATAATATGATATGATGTTTTTGGGTTCAATTTTCATGTGTTATTTACTAAATATTTATTTCCCTCCCCCTCCTGCACCATATTTGAATTGGTGTTTCCCTCAATATCAGAAATAGTCTAGATATGCAGGTAAATATACACGTGTTAATTGTTCTGCATCTTCCCAAAGAAAAAATCGGGTACTCTATGATAATGATTATCACGGTTTTACAAACAGCACATAAATAGTATCTGTGCGTCATACATGCATTTTCATACATAGAGAATGACACAGGAATTAAGATCGATCTAAATCTACATTGACTAAACATTTACCCATTTTATTGTTATTCAATTCATTGTTTCTAATAATAGACCGCTATGGAACGTTTAAAACGACGACGAGAAAATCATAATAATGTAGAACGTAAAAGGCGAAACAACATCAATAATACTATTTATGAAATTTCACTGCTTATGCCCACGGCGTATCGTTCTGGATCCAAACCCAACAAGGGTAGCATTTTGAGGCGGGCCGTGGAATATATAAAGGTTTGTTTCAATTTCCACGATTTTCGATTGCCATTTTCGTTCAACCAATGATAATCATTAAGTTTTTGCAAATTATTGTTGGTTCTTCCCCTTTTAAAATACCTTTTTGGTTAAATGATTTTCTAAAATCATATGGTTTATGCGTAAATCAACAAAAGATTTTCCTCGAATTGTGACGCGCGAGAGAGGGATTATCCTTACTAAATTCTTGTTCTTTTTTAATTTACCACAAATATGAGCGTCAAATTGGTTTCCTATTTAATATTAACCTCCCTTTCGTTTTTTTTTGTAACAGGATCTGCAGAAGGAAAATGAATCTATACGTACAGAACTAACCAAAATCAAAAGTAATAGTAATAATAATAATAGTAGTAATAGTAGTAATCCGCAGCATCAGCAACAACCATCATCAGAAACATATGATTCGAATGACGCAGCAACCACTGTGTCATCTGTGTCATCATCTTCATCGACAACCAATAGTTTCAAGTCAAACGCATCACCATCACATGCAGATCACATGACAAGTCAAGTAAAAACCGGTAGGCAAATTCCGATGGAACCGGCAAGTCCTCTGATATTGCCACCACCATCGACAGTACTTCGAAGCTTGGATCTAACCACAAGACTTAAAGTAGAATCAGTTGCTGTTATGCAACAGCCATCAAATCCAAATTCACCAAGAAAAAGAAATTCACAGGATAACATTGTATTACCACCAATTTCATCAGAATTGGCAAAAGAATTTGCATTGCCACCACCTCGAACAACTAGTCCTCTGCATATTTCAAATGTAACACCACCATTATTACCATTCAATTTTGCACCGCCGAATTCGACGATCATGACGTCATCATCAGCATCGTCGTCAACGACGTCACTTGTACACGTTCCATCACCGTCAAATCCATACTACATGGTGCGATGATGACAATGAGAGAAATTAATCTTTATCATGATAAAAAAAAATTCATGATAACAATAAAATATGGCATCTACGCATACACCGAGTTAGATATTTTAGAGCAGTGCTGAATTTGTATATCTAAAGAGACTTTAGTTCGGATGAACACACACACACAACACACACACACACATAACACACACATATACATTTACATGCACATTCGTTCACACGCAAAAAGTTATCAATTTCAAAATATTCCAATCATCATCATCATCATCATCATCATAATCATCATCATCATCATTATAATAATACTATTAATAATATTAATAATCATCATCACCAGATTTTTGACTCGTTGTTTGTACATATAGTTTATAAGTATATATATATATATATTCAAAAAATTTATCCTTAAAATTAATTTTTTCTACATACACATCATAATAATGATGATAATAGAAGTCAAAAAGTCCATATATACTTCCTTTTTTTCTTTGAGATGCACATCTATGGATCACGATTGTTTCATTTTTTCAGTTGTACTTATCTAATTGTGATATATACGGAAGAATAGATCTATTTATGATCCTAGACGGTAAACTGAGATCGATTTAGAAATTTACTAAAAAAAAATCTATACCAAATCAGGTATTATTTCAGAGTTAATTTTTTACCGATCGAGGAAACGAGCATCATAAAATGTGTCTCTCATTCACCATTCTTATTCCTTGTTTCTCAATTAATTTCGCTAATTTATTAATTCATTGATTGTATTGTGTTCATCATTATCCTCTTAATAATGACACACTGACAGGCTGACGAAGAGACAGACTGACAAAGGAGAGACAGGCTGAATCGTGGACTCTTCCCTATCACAATCGTTGTGCTGTTAGTAGTTAAGGGTGTTTATGGTGTGGGTATCCCATTTGTGTGGTGGTTAGTTAATACGACTATTCACTGGGCGTTACTGCTGCTTGCTTACTCACTTGTACTTTCCAACTTTGCCATGTTCGGATACGCTTATTAGTCTATGATGCTATTGCTTTGTTATCGCGTGTGAATTCCTGCTTTTGTCTGGGTGTCATGATAATAGTGATGATGATAGTAAATGCTGATGACGGCCAAAATTGGATGATGAACCTTAGTAATAAAGAAATCACCAGCAAAAATTTAAGTCGTGTGATGCATTTGAAAGCAAGCTAAGCAAGAATTGATCATCATAGCATAATAATGGTAATGTGGTGGTAGCTCATGCGAATAAAAATGTGCAACGAAATTCACTAAACGAGTATCTATCGACGATGATTAGAAATTAATAAATTTGGAGCTAATGCTCCTCCGTTTTACTTGTACTGTCAAATGTTTCGAAGAAGGATAATAATGATACTAATCACGACGATGATATTCTCGTACTTTTACCCGAATAGATAATTTGCGATGTCTGTATTATGTATCTGCTGTGGTGTGTTGTCGTATTGGGATGATGGAATGGAAATTCCTATATAAAATAAGACTGACAGCGGAGAGAAGGACAGAATCTAAAACTGTATTCTATCGTAATTTTTTTTCCCGTTCATTCTTTCGTTCGTTTTTGAATTAATGAATGGTGCATTATATACACATTGTTATTGTTATCGTTATCGTATGTTATCGTTAGTTATCGTTTCGTTAGATACCGTTCTGTCGTAAATTATTAAACTTTGATGACACCAGAACAGCAGCGGATAATATGCCACACTACACAATACACAATAACACACACACAAACAGGAAAAACAACATCATCCGACAAGATAAATGATGAAAATGATGAAAATCTTGTTATACTTCCTCCTTACTTCTAGTGGATAGATAATATATTAGATTCACACATTCTTAGTGCAAAGAGAAAAAGCAAGTGCAATAAACTCTCAGACACAGCACTTCGCAGGAACAACCAACCCGAACAATTCATTACTATCGTGATTTTAAATCTTAGCCTAATCTCACATTTACATGCTCCACGTATATACACTTTTACAAATACATAAACAAGAATCTTTAAAATTATCGTTATATACCGATACTAATTATTTTGTTTTCTATTAACAATACACACACACACACACACACGCACACACACACGCACACGCACACGCACACACGGGGTCAGTCAATAAGTTTGTTTGTTAGCGTAGTGTTAGTGTTAGTGTCAGTGTTAGTGTTAGTATTAGTATTGGTATTAGTGTCAGCGTCGGTAGTCAAGTGTGTGTGAAAAAACTTTTTTATTTTACTGGCCCCTCTTTCCTCTTTTGGTTTTTTTCGTTGGTTTCTTCCATTTTGTAGTCTTCAATTTTTTCCCGTTTTACTTTTTCTTTGTTGTTTGTTCGCTTCCACTCTCGCTTCGTCGTCCTCTCCGTAATCCCGGGTTGCGACACAGTGAAATGGAGAACAACAATGTCCCATTAGTTGAAGAATCTATTCATCACAAATCTCAACAACAGCCATCACCACCAACAACTAGTCCAACCGCAACTAATAATAATACTAGCAATACTACTACTACTACTACAACTACACAATCAACATCGTCGTTAGCCCAGCAGCAGACGACAACGACATCGCAGCACCACGCCTCTTCGGAACTGACACACTCAACGTCTGCTCCGATTGTCGGAACACCCGTTAATTTGCCTCCTCTAGTTCTCGGACTTGGCCCTCGAAATAATGGTAATGCTACAATACTAAATAACAGCGTGAACCTCGGTGAGTCTACAACTCACCACCATCTACACCACCAGCATCACACTCAACCTGGTCACAATTCACACCAACACAATATCCATCCCATTGGCTCCCCTTCACCTTCCTCACCACCTTTATCTTCGTCAAATACAACTTCTACTGCTACCCAACAACACTCTTCTCATCATTCTCAACAACCACCTCAATTTGCTCAACAACCGATAACTTTTATATTCGAACGTTTTTGCTCGAATGTATCTAACGGACCACCTTCTATGCATTCTTCTCTTTCGTCTTCACAAATGGGTATCAGACCAGTTGTCGATTCTCCAATGGACATTATAGAAAGTAACAATAGTAAATCACCCGATATTTCACCTCCTATTTCTACTACTACTACTACGACGACGACGACTCACCAGCCACAAAATAATAATAACAATAATAATAGTAATAATAATGCAACTACTACCACCACATTTCATCATCATTCTTATCCTGCGTCATATCAAAATAATCATACCCCTGGTGGCAGCAGCGGCAGTGGTGGTGGTGGCGGCGGCAGCAGTAGTAGCAGCAGCAATGGAAGCATTGCTTCGTCGAAAAAAAATAATACTAACAATAGTAATAATAAAAAGAAACGAAAACAGCAACATCCACAATTGCAAACTCAGCCTCCGATCCAACAACACACACCGCCACAATACTCTTATAGAACCCCGATAGATTCTCCAACCTCGATTCACACTCACGAAGATTCTCGATCGGAAGAAGATTACGGAGATAATATGATGATTGATTCGGCAAGTAGATGTGAGGTATATTGAAATTATTTAAATTTCGGGTCGACCAAAATAGTTACCAATGTTTTTATTGATATTTTCTTAGTATATTAATTTTTATTGTATTATTTGTATCAAATTTATTTTTTTAGGATTATGATCATATAATAACACCTTTAGAATCATTAAAAAAATTGTTGATGCAATTCCCGGCAATGTCACCAGCACGTTTGAACACAATTCTACCAGTACTTCTTGATAATGATATAGACGACCCAGAAATTCTTCTTTTAATTGAAAATGAAAAATTTCTTCGAGACTTGCGTGGTAAAAATGGATCTGAAATAAGTCTGGGCAATTGTCTATTACTTTGGCATGGCATACAGGAGTATCAGAGACACAATGCCTCGAATACAACTGTACACACGCCAAAATCTTATTCATCCGCTTCATCCGCTTATTCACCACCACCCTTAAATATACGATCCGATCATCTTATGTCATTACCTAGATCTAAGAGACAGAAATTAGAATTGGGCGATAAGGATGATGGTGCTTCTTCGACCGTGTCTTCGTCGTCACAGGATAATGATCATATTTCACTTTATCACAATCATCCTCATCATAATCATCACCGTCATAACCACCATAAACAAAATCTGAACCATCATCAAAATCATTTTAGTCAAACAACTAACAATAGTAGTAATAATACCAATAATAATACCAATAATAGCAACAACAACAGCAACAATAATAACAGTAATACGAAGCAGCGTATTAAAGCGCCAAAACTAAGCATGTCAACAATAGAAGAAGTACATTCACGAGTAAATTGTGTTCTGAATGTCGTAAAAATCGAGAATGACAAGCGTAAACAAATTAGTCTCTCGCAGAATCCATCTGCTCAACCTGCATTGAAATTTGAGGATTTTGTCGCAGAATTAAAACGCGCTCATAAAATTCCTGTGGCATTTGGTACATTAAGAGATATGAGATTTGCGTATATACTTAAAAAATTACATGAAGCAAAATATAAGGAATTATTAAGCTCGAATCGAGGTAACGTGACCGAATTCTATCGGACTTGTCAAGAGGTTTGTGAGGAAATGTTTAAGGAGGATGATTTGGAGGGTGCTTTACCGTGGCTAGAACTGAAAAGTAAATTGTACTATAAGCAGTGAATTTTGTGTGTTTGAGTGTGTAAATGAATATATGTGTGTGTGTGTGTATGGAGTATTTTAACAAATAAGAGGATTGGATGAATGGGCGGATGGATTGATAGGTTGGAAGAACTAATGTGCGCATTAACAAATGAACAGTTGGGTTCGCTGATTTGCAAACAAGCAATTATCATAATTATCTATTATTTTCTACACTTGTCGTCATCATTGGGTGCACGCACAGGGAAAAAAATTTATTCTTTTTTTATTTTGGATTTTTGATTATCATTATTCATATTATTATTATCATTTATTTTTTTTTTACTTAACGGTAGAACAAGAAAAGGACGATTAATTCAAAACAAATCATTTTTATATCTACTAAACAACAAACATACCAGACATCAGTAACAATACATACTTATTATTAACATTACCTTTGGATTATTAATTTTATTATATTAAACCCAAATAGTGGTTTTTTTGAAAAGTATATACATATAAATACATATATATAATATATAGTATATATCTATATATAATTATCCCCTTCCCCTGATACAAACGATAATATACACCTATATTCAACCCATTTTATTCCATCACTACAAAATCTTTGTTTTTTTTTCCGAGATGTAGTAGACTTCTTGCTCGCGTACACACACGAGCACACGCACATATTCACGCAGACACGCACGGACACACAAAATCACATCAACTTCACGAATTCAAGATTATGTGTTGAATCTTCACAGTTTGTGCACAAAAAAAACAACACTTGCAACGTCAACAACATCAAACCCAAAAAAATTGTGTTTATACATGTATTATCAAACAACAAAAAAGATTCTGCATCAAAAAAATATGTTGAGGTTGTACATATAAATATTATATATAATATATAATATCATATCATCGTCATCATATTCCTTTCCCCTTTTATACAAAATATCTTTTTTCATCCCGACTCTTTTACTGTATTATCTTGACGATATCAATTTTTTACCCCCCAAACATTTGTTATCATACCTGAAAAAATTTATCTGCAAAAAAATATATTAAAAATCCAATCACACACTTGACGAAAATATTATGAGTGACAATAGCAAAAAAGTGGTGAATGTGAAAATTTTTCGCGTTATTAAATATGTCATGTCCGAAAAACTGTTGGAGATATTTGATATTTTTATTAGTAAAATTTTGGCTGATTGAATATTCATTTGATCTTCTTTTTCTTCCTTGTCTACTTAAAAACGAGCAAAAGGATAATCACATATTTGGATTTTTATTAAATGATTTTGTTTACACAAGATCAATGAAGAAATATACAAAATTTCAAATCACTGCCAAAATGGTTTTGAACCGAAAATTTTCGGGTTTCGGACAAACCACATCCGAATCGCTAAACTCGTTCAAAATGCCGAAAATTTAAAAGCTCATCTAATTTAAATTTAACAAAGATGGCGAAAGATCTTTTCGAGCTTTCTACTTTCTATATCGTTATTGTATGAGTTGTTTCATATAATGGTTTCATCTCACAGTTACGCCACCACATAAGAGGAGTACAAGGAGAGTATTTTCACAGTATTTGGCGCAATTGTGACTAGTATTTCTTTAGCTCAACGCTTATTTTTTTCAACATCCCAGAAAATTTTGTGACTTCCTCATTTATTGCCAGACGGTGGCTTGCCCAATACCTAATAAAGATAGTTGTATGGTCAAATAGTTTTAACAATTTTAGTATTCAATACCGATACTGCCTCTACATTCCGGATGCAGAAAGTAAACAAATAAATGCTAAATTCTTCGAATTGTGCGTTAAAAGTTTTATGTAATGACGTCGGAGCATTTTATGATCCTCTCTGGGATTCTTTTTAATCACGGCACCAAGCTGGGCCAAAAAACAGTTAACAAAACTTGCATCTTATTCTTCCAAACAAGCGATTGTATCCTTTGTTGTTTTTATGATCATCGCTCATTTTGGGTAACACCAGGATTTTAACATGTTCCAACGAGAGATAATGTAATGGTAACAACTGTTCTATTTGTTCAACAAGGAATTCTGCTGTGACTTTCGTGTACAAATTTTCAGTTGTATTTGAAATGCTGATAATAAATATCTATGAAATAATTTTGATTAAAAAAAATGTTCAATTAAAGTACATGTTCTCCTTGGTGAGCTTGACAAAATAACTTCCCAAAAGGCTTTCATTCAAAAAGTTGGTTGGGGAATATTCTTTAAATTACCCTCAATTTACATGTTAAACATATAAATTCGTGATGACCTTTATCTTTTTCTCGTGGTTTGTTATTATACCTATTATTTGATTGTATGGTGCATACCATCTAAAGTCATCAAACGTTTGTATTTTATAAAATATTTAAACTTCTCAACTAAGAAGTCAATTCAAAATTTAATCCGTAAATATGGTAGAATAAGCCTTTTTCTACCATATTTACGGACTAAATTTTGAATTGACTTCTTAGTTGAGAAGTTTAAATATTTTATAAAATACAAACGTTTGATGACTTTAGATGGTATGCACCATACAATTATCGTTAATTGTAAATATTTATTGAACTGACAAAGTTTTGGCAATAGTTTCAGCTCGGTTTAGACCCTTTTCATCACGTGGGCTTGTAGCGGGAGACGTATCAAGTTTATTCTATTCGTTATTGAAAATAATTGCTAGCTTAATTGCCTTTAGTTAGCTATAATAGGAATTTATTGAAGAAACCATTGTTAAATAGAGTGATACCTGCCTCACCCTACCATATAAGATAGGAATGATTTGATAAATCAGTAAAATTTGTGAAGTCAAGACTCAATCATAAATACTTGATTCATTGTAGTGAATATCGCATTCGCCGTTAATTTAGAGGGAATCTGAAAACTATGAACCTAGCAATTTTTTACTAATAGATTTTTTTGATACACTATAAAAAAACGACAAAAGCATACATATTGACAGAGTAAAATCAGTAAAAATATTCAATGTAAAAAAAATCAAATTTCTATAATTTATTAAAAATCAACACAAGTAATATTGAATTTTAAAACTATTTGAAATCCAATGATTTTAGATTTTGTTGTATTAATGATTTTTGCCTAATGTTCTATAAATCCTGAATAAATATAAGCATTAAAATCCCACAACCCTGTGTGGAAGAGAATGACTAAGACTATAACGATAACATTAATTAATATGCTAATACATGATATAAAAAATGTAATTATAAAATTTTGACTGTTCATTGTCAAGTCGGCCAGCCAAAAAGACAACCGCGAGAATAATGTAAGAGCTCCGATCCCAACTACAATTTTTATTCATCAATCTGTATCATGTTGTCCCCCCCCCAATCATTATAAATGTATCTATTTCGTTTTTGTAATCTTTTTATTAAGCTTTATTGCCGATTTCACCTAATCCACGTGATGATTCGGCTAGTCTTCTTCTCCGAATCCTATCTTCTCGTCCACACTTAAATATGTAACTAAGCACATCTACAATTGCACGAAGAGCCAACAACGCCGCGGTTATAGCTAATATGATAAAGTTAAGCCCAATTTTACTTGTTACTTCATCCGAATTTTGACCTTTCAGATTTCCCATATTTGTTTTAAACGCGTAGAATAACCAAGCAAGATAAAAGAAACAAATCATGTCTGAAATCAAGGATAATCGTCTCACTTGGCCGTCGGTTATATATATAGTTCCGAATAACATGTATGCTTCTTTTTTGCCTAAAATTAAAAAATATTAATTAAGCTTCGAGATTTCATGGAAGAAGATAACTGAATTTTAGCTTTAAAGGAAAATACAATACCAATAAAGACACCGATTCCATCCCAAAAGGCAAACTTAGCGCGAGTGTATTTTTTTATTTGATAAACATTAAAAAGACGAGGTAATAATTCAAAGAGTGCGATAATTATAAATACAGATTTTGATATAGATTTATTATTTGCCTAAATAAATATATTAAAGTTATTATCACGAAATATAAATTCGCATTATTATTTCGAGTAAAGTTTAAAATCATACCTCTTTATATATTGTAATAAGCAATAAAAATGTACCAATTAACGTATAAATATTGACGATAGAAAGCCCACCCCACCATATTTTTACCAAAGTTGATGGTTTATGCATTGGCGAATCGTCGTGATCTTCTTGACTTTTTATTTCAAGATTTTCATAAAAAAAAGGTGGTGGTGGCGTTTGTAGTGGTGTTTGATAATACTGTGAGTTGTTATTGGGATCATGTGGATTGTGATGATGGTGGTAAGGGTAGTGAGGATTAGAAGAGGGATCATGTGGATTGTGATGCTGGTAAGGGTAGTGAGGATTAGAAGGGGGATAATGTGGATCATTAAAATAACTATGCGCCTCGCCTGCTCCTGTGTTAGGAGACAAACCTCCACTATGTTGGGTTTGGTGGTAGTGATGTTGATATTGCATTACTATTAAACTTCAAAAAGTTAAAATGTAAATTCTAAGGTCTTTTTTTAGGTGCTAGCTCCAACGTGAAGTAGATTATTGTTTCGTAACAACAATCAAAAGAAATTTTTGATAGTCTTCGTCGTTTCTTCCCTCCAAACGAAAAAAAAAAAAAAAAAAAAACGAATGTATATATATAGAGTGCGCAGAACACCAACGTACAAAGACCAAAGACCAACAGCAGCAGGAGAAAAGTTGTACATGTTTGTTCCCGCTATATGTGAATTTACACAAATTTCCTAAATGCATGCATAAAGATGGATAATCAAATTCACGAAATCTAATTATATCAATATTCTTAAAATAAACTGAACCTTGTATTACATATTCTAAAACCTGACCTAAGATGGTGCAACCTTGCTTGTTTTATTTTTGAATTCTTTCCAAACTTGGCAAATAAAAAATCTTCTAATACATTAAAGAAATGAACGTCAACATAATGAATTAAATAATAGTTCTATTTAATGTTTCCGTCTAAAAACTTCAAACAGTAAATGATCCCATTCTAATAAATCTCATACACAATAATAAATCTAATATCTATTGAGAAGAAAATTTTATCCCAAATATTTCCTTTCTAATGTAAAGTTCTTTCATCTTTTCTAGCACAATAAACGTTATGATGGTGTGCGGGCCAAGACGCGCGAATGCAGGCACCCAGCCTTTGAAGAGAGCAAAAGGTCCTTCTTGTTGAATGATAGTTAATAAGATCGAAAAAGCACTCTATATAGGCAGATTCAAAAATCAATGAATTAAGTAAGGGGATGAAAAAATTTAAAATGACATGAAATACTTGTACTACCTTTGGTTTTGAGCCTGAATTCATAATACGCGTTTTTATAACATCTGCGGGAGAACATATCGTAGTTGCGACCAAACCCTATAATAAAATAAAAGAAATAAATTCGGAGGATAAATTCATAGCATCGGAAACAAAATCAACCAAAGAATACTTACCGATAATAAACTCGCACTAAAATGAGTCCATATATTATCTTTGAAATAACCAGTTTTCAATAATGATAGCTTAAACACATCATACGTGGTCACTTGCGATACATTCATCAAAATAGCACGATTGACATTAGGTCCCACCCCACGAAAAAATCCGTTTATTCCTTCTTCCTTCCCAATTCGTATCAGACCATCAAAAGCGTGTCGATAATTGCGTCGTAAATGTGGTTCTAATTTGGCGTCGTTCTGCATCCGAACCATTACAATATCGGCAGAATTACCAGATACACCACCAACAGCGCCACCCACAGCACCGGCAAATACCATTTTCGTGAATGAAAGTTCCTGACCGTCTATATATTTATATTAGATATAATATTAATTTTTCATTCTTTTAGATTAAACCAAAGAAACAGAAAGTACCTTTGGCCAAAAGAAGCTTGACTTTTTCATATGTTCCGAATCTCATTGTGGAATAAGTGGCCTGTCGTAGCAGACTTGCGCTCAAACCACGATATAGTCCGAAGAAACTTTCAGTACGTATTATATTAATTGCAGTTTGTAATGCACTGGCCTTTGCGGCTCCTTTTGACGTTTGCAGACGCACTTTTATCAAATCAAATGGGTGACTCACTGTGGCTGCTGTCATTGCAGCGGCGCCTTAATTTAGAAGAATACATTTGCGTTATGAAAAAAGGGGCTTTACTAATTGAGCAAAATGTCAGATATTAAAACTTACCTCCCAACCAAAATGGATATATAACTTTTTTTTTCGGGGTTTTCTCGACATCATATGTTGTATTAATGGTTTGCTTGTAAATTTTGGAAGTGGGTTGAGGTGCTAATACCTCAGAAGCTACGCTAGACGATGGTGCATTTTGTGACATTCTATGCTACTATTAATATACAATTGGGAATATTATTAATACAAAAAAGACTAATTTAATTGTTTATAATGATATCTTCTAAGAGAGAGTACCGAAATGATAAAAAATGAAAGGAATAAGAGAAGGAACACCAAAAACAAGAATCTTTATCTACGAAAGATTCATAATCTAGATCACTACATTGAAGAGCTTGGTCACATAATCTATATCGATATTCCTATTTAAGAGAAAGTGATCTCGCGACTTTTTAAAGTATTCCTTATCGTTATCGATCCGTAATATAAAGTGATCTCGCGACTTTTTTAAAGTATTCCTTATCGATCCGTATCATGCATTTGAGATCCATCATCACTCATGCTAAAAGAGAGTTTTTTGTAACACAAAAAGGTGTTTCTGATTTATGAAATATAAAACGTGGCTACTTATTTTTTGTTTTTCCTCTTAAATAACAAATCAAAATTCTTGACACAAGCGACTCGTAGAAAAGGAAATATACAAGAGTTTATTTTTATATTATTTTTCAACTTTTTATTGATTATTCTGAATTGGTTTCCGGAAATGATTAAATAGAGGTTAAATAAGATAAATTTTGCCAACGCAAATTCTCAACAAAAAGAATCAAAAGGAATACCCCAGATAAAAAGATGAGGGACTATATCAAATACTTTCGAACCCATCAAACATTTCTCATCCTCAACGGGTTCATCGTTCACCTCTTCATCATTGCAATAAAAATTATCCCGTTTACATTTAGACCAAATTTCGTGTCGATGGTGTGTAAATCCAACCTTGCGTGGTGGTAAATGTGGAACTACGTCGTTCCGATGCGTAACCCTTTTTCGAATGATAAAAAAAATTGAGATTTTGTAAAATAACCAAAAATCAAGAATAATATATATATATATATATATACCTTGAAAGAATATGATTCTGTGTCCCTTTCGAGAATTCAGATTCCACCAGTTTGGCAAATTTATCATTACCAACACGCGGCTCACCAATTGTCGTTATTTGAATATCGAACGGCGTGCCAAATGAAATTCCTTCTAGAATCGGGTTTAAAATATATCTCTTCACATCTAGCCCTAGAAATATTGCTAATACACCTCCCTATTAATTATTATCAAAAGTCGATAAATAAATATAACCTAATAGTAAAAATCTCTTCCTTTAACCTAAAACACCAATACCAACCATAGAATGGCCACTAATTATCAAAGTATAGCCACGACATGAGTTCTCAACTCTGGTTAACATCAATTGTATTTTCCATAATAAACTTTCTCTGACGCGATCGTACATTTTATAAAAGCCACCGTGAACTAAAGCGCCTGATTATATTAACATAATGAATGGTTATCATTTGATTAAAAAAAAAAAACTCAGAGAATCTTAATTCAAACCTTCTGAATTTGGATATTCGTAATCAAGCTGTAAATATCTTAAATCGTATAACCAACTTACCCAATCATGCGTCCTTTATTTGAATTTGAGAAAAGATGAGAAAATGCAAAATTAATCGTTTTACCCCCAATTGAATAAAACTCACCCCCGAAATCCAACAACGATCACTTTTGCATCCCGGTCCATACCAAGATAACCAGCTGCTCCTTTTTTATCATCATGAAATACTGATTCAATAGTGACATTTCCAACACATCGATTTCCACACGACCAAGTTTCCAACCGTTTTTGAGCGCAATAGCTAGCGGCCGCGTATCTAGCATGTGTTTTTAAAGTATCAAGTTCTGTTTCATTCAACCGTTTTTTAGGAGTTGGTTCTTCATTGTCATTTTTATTGCCAAGATTCTTAGCTATTTCACTAGTATTTGAAATTTCTTTTGTTGTATAATTTCCAATATAGCTGCTATCATCGTTATTAATATCGGGACTTTGGCTTATAACTTCAGTCGCATATTTCACAATAGACTTTTTTGTTACGAACAAAAGAAATATCGTCACGGTTATTACAAATAATAATTTTTTCATGGTTTAAAAAATAACCAAGCTGTGAATTCTTTTTTCTTTTCAGTTTTTTTTGTGTACTTGAACTTTATTTGCTTTCGTTCGAGCAATTTAGGCGATATTGTAATTATTTAGCGAAATATTTTAATGGAAAATGGAACATTTAAATTGCGCTTAGCCTTTGCTACAGAAAATGGCTTTACAACCACATCTTTATCTTTTATAGGATTTCTGATCGGAGAGATATAATACATAATCGGCATGCTGTAATCATCTCGCACGTTTTATCTCTCATCGTTATGAATTCAGCAACGTAAATAAATAATAATAATAATACTGTAACGTTCGGCAAATAGTACCCCGGGTCTCTTCTATGATCAAAGTTTATTGGGAAAAAAAACAAGTAAAAAAAGAGGGGTCGAGGGGTACTATTTGCCGAATATTACGGTAGTAGTAATAATAGTACTATGTAATTTAGATAGTTCTTTACGTATAACAATAACAATTTTTATTACGCAGCATTTGTAATAATAATAATGTAATAGTTTACAAATACAATCCTTCAGGTGTACCCTCTGATTTACGATATAAGACTTTTTCACGCGCTTTTCGGAAATCTTCTGCGACAACTTTCATGCGTCGTTCACGGAGCGCCAGCAGTCCTGCTTCTGTACAAATAGCCTATATAATACCCAAGAATAAAAAAAATTAATAATCAAATATTTCGTATAGATATTATTTTATTACACATAAAAAGAGCTTTTACTTTGATATCAGCTCCCGACAAGTCATCTTTCGACATGACAAATTCTTCCAAGTCAACGTCCTCGGCTAGTGTCATTCTACCAGTATGAATATTAAAAATTCGACGTTTTGTTTTCACATCGGGTAATGGAAACTCTATCTTTCTATCAATACGTCCTGGACGAATCAATGCCGGGTCAAGTGACTCAATGCGATTCGTTGCCATGATAACCTATAATTTGAATTGGGATTAATTGTATCATAAAACTCGTAATTTTTCTCAATGAAAGCAATACCTTAACATCCCCTCGTGAATCAAATCCATCCAATTGATTTAGTAGTTCCAACATGGTTCTTTGAATTTCCCTTTCACCACCCGAATTAGAATCATACCTATATAAAAAGTTTCCAAAATCAATCGTGAAATTCAGAATAATATTAATTCCATTACGAGGTCTAGAATTGAATTTAAATCTGCTTGCCGTTTTGTTCCAATAGCGTCAATTTCATCGATAAAGACAATTGACGGTGCATGCTCTTCCGCAACGCGGAAAAGTTCACGTACTAGTTTAGGGCCATCACCTAAATACTTTTGAATTAACTCTGAACCGACCACACGAAGGAATGTCGCGGAAGTTTGATTAGCTACAGCTTTTGCTAATAATGTTTTTCCTAATAATTTTGTAAATTAGAATTTATTAATATTCAAAATTTGTTATTTAGATATATTTAAAGTAGATTTATTTCAAGGAAAAAATTACCTGTTCCAGGTACACCATATAATATAACCCCTTTCGGAGGTTTTATACCCATTTCTTCATATAATTCTGGATGAGTTAATGGTAATTCAACGGATTCTTTAATTTCCTGAATTTGTTGGTCTAAACCACCAATATCAGCGTATGATTCCGTCGGTGCTTTCTCAAGTTTCATTACGCTAACCATCGGATCGGTATCATCTTGAAGTACGCCGACAACAGACATGGCCTTATGATGCAACAAGATGGAACATCCCGGTTCCAACAAATCTTTATCCACAAATGAAAGAATACTGACATAATATTCGGGACCTGTTGATGACGATACAATTGCATGGTCATCATCAATAATTTCCTCTAATGTACCGACACCCATAGGTGAACCACGTAAATCATCGACACGAGTTCTTTCTTCCTGATTGTCCATATTAAATTAATTAATCAATCAATCAATCATGCTGAATGTCTTTAAACAAACATTTCCGGAAAAAAATTATACCTGAGCCTTTTCCTCTTGTGGCTTCAAACGTTCTTGATTTTGAACGAATTCCTCTTCCAATAATAAATAATCTTTTATGCGTTCCATTTTAAGAAGCTTCAAGCGACACCGAGTTGTAGGAAATACTAGAATTCAAATTTTTAAGAATTACTATCAATTTATGAATAAAAATTCGATTATAAATTTGTACTTGGAAACTTCATATTATAGATCTTGAATTTTACCTGCAGGTAATTTGGAAGTTGCATCCACTCCACGTCTTTTCTTTTTTCCCACACGAGTCGGAAGTGGTGGTTCCCATTTTTTTTTCTTATTTTTGTTCTATAAGAATTCGGTCAAAAGAAAATATGTAAAAATTACGAATTCATCAAAAATATTCGATTGAAAATATATATTTTATAACTTGGTCGTCTTTCTTGTTTCCATCTTCACCAGGCCCAAGCGGCGGAAGTCCGGATTGTGCATTTCCCTATTATTAATTTTTGAAAGATCGAGGAAGAAACCGTTAATATAAAGAGAGTTTATCCTTTCAAGAAATCTTTCAAGACTTCCACTATATATCTTTTGATTAAGCTCAAAAGTCAAACTAGAAATCTTCACAAATTTCGCCTTTGATAGCCTGACTTTTGCTGCTTTCACTCGAGAAGGCAAATTACGCTCTTTTAAACCAATAAAAAAACAAAACTTACCATAGTTGTAACTCAGAATCTGGCCAAAATGAAACCAGGGACTTGAGACAAAAAAAAAGTGAAATTATTTGTAGAAATCAACTTCGTGCATTAATGTGGATTACGTTATCTGATTACGCGTCAATAATGCAATTTACCATTACACAATTGTTAACAATTTCTAAAAAATATAATAATTCAACAGCTCTGGTGCATATAACGCAAAATGGAAGCCGACATAAATCAACTATCAAACGACTACCAAAACTTTAATGTTCAAACAGAAGACGAAAAGCTCGCTACACAATTTGAAGAATTAGCTGCTTCAAATACTCAATTATCTTCAAATCGAGCTACACATCGCACATTTGGCGTTATGCTACCTACTTCAGCAAAAACAGATAAGAAACCCATCTTTGAGTTACACCGTGAAGGTTCGAAAAATGCACAACATTCTTTGACATTTGCTGAGCGACAAATTGAAAAAGAAAAGTCTAGTGAAGAAGGTGAAGGGTGGGGTGATTTAGCTGAAACTACAATTTCCGAGCACCACCAGTTTGGATTTACTTCAATATTGTCGTCTGAGCATCTTGGTCTTGGACATATGAGAATTCATCCTGATCAATATTCCAAAAGAAATTGGTACAATCTGAATGGACCTAGTGATTCAAGTGATCTGGATGATGAATCGTCGTTCTGTCAAGGAGAAGAGAAAGAGGAAAATAAAGTAAAGAGTGATTTCGGATTTGCTAAATATGCAAATAATCAAAAGCATTTTGGGCAGGATGTTTATTCTTTGATGAATCAAGGATGTTTATTCTTTGATGAATCAGGGAAGGCATTGATCACGTCGGGTGAGTATCTTTTTTGTTTTGTATTTGTTGATTTAATTAATTTATTAATTTTGAGAATTGCTTGAAATCAGATAAAACCTGAATGGACTCATTAGCTATTGTTTTATCAATATGAATGGCGATGGATGGTGAATTAGAATTATAATTTCATATTTGGTGTTTGTTTAATTGTTATCAAGATATTTAAGACATAAATAAATCAAATTGAATCATTGTTGAAAAACGAGTATTTTATATATAACGCACACACTAACTTTTTTATTTTGTGGTATTTCTCATGGGTAAATTGTACTATCGTGAACATAATGTGATTATGATCTGATCATATTCCACACAATTTTTTAATTATTCAATATTCTTTACAAGTGATATGACAAATCCAAAAGAATAAATTCATTAAGAGTTTGATCTTTTTGTTTTTTTTTATTAAAACATTTTGATCTAATTCTTTTCAAGTATTATTAGTTGATATATTTATTTAATAAGAAAATTTTTTACTGATTCATAAGTGTTTAATGCTTGTGATGGATTTTTTAGTGAAAACTAATAATTTTTATCTTTTAAACATAATTTTTTTATTATTAAATAAAAATGGCTAATTGAGAATAAAGTTATTTTTCATATTTAAATTCAGTATGCTATTGTTTTCTAAGCAAAACAATACACACCTAAAATAAAATTTTTGTTTAAAACTTTTCATAATTGACTTGCAAGTTCAAACAAGCCAATAAATAAATTTTTATATATTTGTAAAGCCAAAAACTTAATTGTTATTCCACTATAATAAAAATTTTAATATATAAATCTTTTTTAAAAGTGTTCTCATTGTAGAATATATCGATTTAGGATTATAGATGAGTACCCTAGCCATGACGAGAAAAATTGTCCGGACAATCAGTGCTTCTTCAAAAATAGGGGATACGTTAAAGCGGAGTAGTATCACGTGTAATAGACAAATTTGAACCTCTAAGTAAAAATAGTTCGATATTCGAAAGCTAACAGAATTTGTAATGAGTTGAACCAAAAATATACTATTTTTAGCGATCTGCCACAATAAGAAAAATCGTTGCTGATCGATTTAAAGGTAAAAACTGAACTTTGCGCAAATTTCAATAACGATAAACATAATAAACATCATGAGTATGAGTAGCAGTAAAAGTTCTCGAATTGATGCAAGTTATTTAATATTATAATTTCCTGAGGTTATTTTATTGCTTTCTTTGAAATATTAAATTTAATAAAGTATTATACATGAATTTACCCATGATATCATCATTAATCAAATGTTAAATCTTTTGTTTTTAAAATAATTAATTGGTTGACTTATTTTTACTTTCAAATCAAAAACTACAATTTATATCTAATAGCCTGGGGTATCATATAAGCGACTTATGGATCACAACGATGATTTTATCGACGAAAATGGCACTAAAATGGTTTATCCACCAAAAAAGCTGGGCTCTTCAAGTGTCAACAATGATACTGGCCAAGGAGAACAATCAGGCCCTAAGCATCACCCTGATACTTTAAAAGATGTGGAAATACATGCAAAAGTTACGTTTTTTGTTTATTTTTCGGCAATTGTTGTCGCTATCGGTGGATTTTTATTTGGGTAAATATATTTTTATAGACTTTTAAATAGATTTTCTATACATTGTAATTGAATCTAATTTTTTAATTGAAAGGTATGATACAGGGGTTATAAGTAGTGCTATGTTATTGATTGAGCAGGATTTCTCGATGACTGCTTTTGAGAAGGGAATGCTGGTTGGAGGTATGTTTTGATGCTAGAAAAACAATAATTTATCTCGTAAAATATTAGTTTTCCTATAATATCATCAAAATTTTAGCAACAACAATTGGTGCCTTTTTCGGAGGATTAGTAGCAGGTAAAATATTTACATTTTTGACCAAGGATTTCTAGTAGTGAAAGTTTTTTTTTTTTGACAGTTTGATTCATCATCAATTTTATCTTTAGGTTTAATGTCCGACACAATAGGTCGGAGGATCACTTCAATAATCGCAGCACTTATTTTTATCGGAGGTGCTTGTATAATGGCATTTGCACACAACTATGCATTTCTTGTGGTTGGTCGACTGGTTGTTGGGCTTGGAGTGGGGTTGGCTTCGATGGTTGTGCCAATTTATATTAGCGAGATTTCACCGAGATATTTTCGTGGACAGTTAGTTACGCTTAATGTCTTATTAATAACCGGCGGTCAGGTTATTGCGTGAGTAGCTGAATAGAATATGATTATTTGCTATTTGCGATTGGAATCCCAGAAATTTGTTGATTATTGATTTAATTGGCTTAGCTATTTAGTTGGAATAGCGTTTATTGAAACCGGTGAAGGATGGCGTTGGATGGTAACTATTTTAATATAGTTTTTCAATACTCTATATATTTTACCAACACTTTTTCCAGGTTGGTGTTTCGGCTTTTCCGGCTATTGTTCAGTTATTTGGTATGTATATGTACCATTTCACACTTGGATGGATATGCGTCACCCATTGAATTGATTTCATTTACTCTTCACTTGATCTTGAGAAATATTCCATATTTTTTAATTTGCTTTTTTTCCTCTGATTTAAAATAAAACAGGAATGCTCTTTGTCCCAGAAAGTCCGCGATATCTAGTACTTAATGCGAAACCAGAACAAGCAAAAAATGTATTACGAAAGATATATCCAAATGCACCGCAGAGTTTTCTAGATGAAGGTTTATCATTTTTATTACTGATTTTTTTTCGGTTATGATATAAGTTTCTAATATTTAATAAATAACCTTCCCCCAGAAATTGCTACAATCCAAGATACCCTTGCTGAAGTAACCGCTGGTTCTTATGCCGATCTTTTTCGATATCCAAATACACGTCTGATGATTATCGCATGTGGGCTACAAGCTATTCAGCAGCTCTCTGGATTTGATACGGCAATGTATTATGGAGTATGCAGAATTAGTTACTTTTACAGAGGGAAAATAAATTCAACAGGACTAATAATTTTTTTTGATATAGGGTACTATTATGAGAATGACGGGATTCACAACAATTAAAAGTGCTACTATTTTTGCGGTTTTAGTTGCTTTAACGAATTTTTTTATGACTGGTGGGCAAATATAAGATCAAACATAATAATTAATTTAACAGAACTGATAAAAATAACAAAAATCATCAAAAAGCCATAGCACTCTACATAGTTGACAAAATCGGAAGACGCCGAATTCTTCTTTACACCATGATCGGAATGATAATTGGGCTAGTAATCTTGGGAATCTCATTTATTTACATTACGGGATTCGTGAATCGACAAGACGAATGTATCGATTACGGAAGTCGATGTGGTCCATGCTTGCATGATCATCGCTGCGTGTTTAAATTTCCAGAGAAAGTTTGTGCTGCTAAACCGTCTAAGCATAATCCTGCTACGTCAGAGTACTATGAGATTTGTCCCGATAAGAAACAATATGGCACTTATTTAGCGTTGGCGAGTTTAGTTTTTTATGTGGTGAGTTAGTTAATGATGATAGTGTTATTTTATACAATTATGATACTCGTCATTTTCTAACGCTGTAAAAAGGCTACATATGCCCTAGGATTAGGCCATTGTCCATGGTTAATTCAAAGTGAATTGTTTCCATTGAATATTCGTGGACGCGCAACTGGGATTGCAACTGGTAAAAAGAAAGATGACATCTTTTGGGAAATTTTGATCGGTTTTCTCATAGTTTAATTTGATTTATAGCTACAAATTGGATGTGCAACTTAGCTGTTGCAGTTTCTTTTTTGCCATTAACCGAGCTGATAACAACGACAGGTAAGAAAATGACGTTTAATTTATGTGCTGATTTCTAAAACTAACATGTGTCACATTTTTATATATAGGCACTTTCTGGGTATACGCGTTAATCATGATCCTCGGCTGGATTTTTATTTTTAAGCTGGTTCCAGAAACAGCAGGAAAGTCTCTTGAAGAGGTCCACGAGATATTTGAGTGAATTGGTGCTATTGGTTATTAATAAATAAAAGATCGAAAGTTTAGTATTAAGATAACAAACCACCTTGATTTCCTTGACTTCAAACCCAATTTCAAATTTCCTAATTTGGGTTTTACCCCTGATATAAGCCACAAGCCACAATTTGATATTGCACTTATTCTAATTTAGATAAATGATGCGACACAAACAAAGTGGGACAGTTCGTAGTAAAGCTCTGGGTCGGGTCGGGTTCGAGAACAACCCGATCCGGTAAATGTCTAACCCGACCTGACCCGACCCGAAAAGTTTCGGTTCGGGTCAAACCGAAATTCGATCCGACCCGATTAGTTTTGATTCGGGTCAAATCGAAAAGTTTCGGGTTGATCCGAACTTTATTATCATCTAATTATGTAACTGATGTGATTAAATATAAAACAATATAGTGTTTATTTCTTAATGTTAATAATATATCTCTTATTATACACATTAACAATTGATCCAATAACAAATTATAATAAAAGCTGTTGCTATTGTAAAGATAGTTAAATATAATGTTATAAGTAAGGTTGCTTGCCGAAATCTTTTAGTGACTGCTGAAATTCTGTTGAAATTATAATAAACTATTAGTAAATAGCCCGCCAAAATTCTGACGAGTTTTGAAACCCATCATAACTGAAATTATGCCAAAATTCTAATTAACAATTAGTGTGTAACCCATCGAAATTATGACGATATTTTTCTGAAAGGATTTAGACAAGCATCCTTAATTAAAAGTTCTGGACTCAGATAGGTATTTTTGTGGTATTATTACAAATAGAATTTTATAATTCCTTAATTTCTTAATGTTTTAAAAACATTCCAAACATTTTCAACATTTCATAAATACTATCTTTATCATATTTATTAAATTTAGCTAAAATACTTTATCTATTATCTATATTATACTTACTATATTTATCATATATATTATTTTTATTATAATTAAACTAAATGTAATATTAAATATTTATTATAAATAAAGCACAATTGAAATTTTGAAAAAGGTATTAATTGATTACTACAAAAATCTAGCTAGTTAATAAACTATTCATTATTTATTGTTAATAAAATTTGTATATTAATTGATTTTAAATAATAAATAATAATCTTATATTAAATACTTATATTTATTATATATTATTGAATAATTACCAAGTTACTATAGAATATCAATATTATATTGCTATAGAACTAAGGATGCTTGCCTAAATCCTTTCAGAAAAATATTGTCATAATTTCGACGGGTTACACACTAATTGTTAATTA